ACCTGGTGGGGCTGTAGAATGCCACCAGTTCTCCCTGGCTAAGGCTGGGCCGGGGCCATGCTGCTGCAGTGTGTCCTGAATGAGAAGAACTGCAGCAGCAGGTAAGGGGGGTGGGCAAAGAGGTGGGGGCAGGCACAGGCATAGGGCGAAGTGAGGTTGGACAAATTTAAGATGGCATTCTACTATTTAGTTTCTATACCTGGAAAATTATAACATTTATAATTTTCCATGAATAGAATCTAATTATTTTAGGGGGTTATCTTAAATTTGAAGTCATCTTGGATTTCAGTAAATACAGTTAACCTCTTGTAGCCCTTTTCACAAGGGCTGTAGTGTTAAGTCCTGGCTCCATTTCCATGTTAGTAATTTCATTCTAGAGTTTCAACTGGAAAAGTTACTCTTTTCTGTCCTAAACAGCTGAAGGATATTGTCAAGCACTGTTAAAAACAATGAAAACAAACTACACCAGGGATAGGCAACCCCCAGCATGGGTGCCAGAGCACGCACACTTTGGGACAGAGGGCAGGGAAGGGGCCGGGGCTGTGCTTCCACAATGAGGTCAGGCCCCTCATGGCTCTCCCGCCATCTGCCCCTGGCACATCAATATCTTACAAGTTGTTTGCTGGTGTTTTTGGCACTCTGCCCAAAAACATTGCTGAACCCTGAACTACAACAAACAAATAAGACTACTTCATGGGATGGCTATATTTCAGTAGTGATCAGAGTGTGCAATTTAAATTTTTAAAGCCCCTCTGAGGTTCCTCAGCACAGAAGAGGCCACAAAGATATTACATAGACTAATACATGTGGTGCAAGAATGTTTTGGGAGTTGTAGAGCATTTAAAATCAAAGCTAAAATATATTCCTTTCTTGGCTACGAAGACTAGGTACATATTTCTGCTTAGCTTAGACCTCCTCTAGATAGAGGATTTACACCCTTCTAAAAAACTGACCCTAAGTGACGTAGGAACCCAGCTCCCATTTTCAGTAACTTAGGGTGCCTATATACAAGCAATGAGGCTGCTCCAAGAGTGCATCAGAGCAGACTTGATTAACTGAGTCTGTTGAAGCATGGTAATTACCAGGGATCTGAGTTTTCCATTTCCTATGGAAAAAAAGTGGATTTCCTTTTTTAAAGGAGAAAAACATGGATTTTCCCCTTTGAAGCTGGCAGCTTCAGGTTTCCCCTTGCAGGCTGGCAATGTTCCAGCTGACAAGGAGCTACTTGGGGCTCAGGGAAGCAGAGGGAGGGAAATTGAAGGCAGGGAGCACCACGTGTGTTTGCGCATGCACACACACGGTTGGCCATACAGCAAGGTGGGGTAGTGGGAGCAGCCCGTGCAGCTGGATACAGGTAAGTCTATGGGACGGGGGGCTTGGAGGGCCAGGACTTGGGGACTGTCCAGGGAGCTGTGTGTGGGGCATGTGAGTGTGGTGTATGTGTGTGGGAGTCTGTGTACCTTAGGGTACCTGCCGGCATTGGGAGAGGGAATCCAGGTGCTGGGGCTGCAGCAGGGCAGTGGGGTTTGAGGCAATGCTTGGTGCTGCCAATGAGCCCAGCTTAGTGTTGCTGCCACCAAGGCCTGCCCAGAGGTGCCTGGCCCACTAGTGGGGGAAGGAGGTGGGAGGGTGTTCTTTAGGGGTGGCGGGAAGCCAGGCAGTGGCTAGGGAGCTGCATGCTGCCCTGCACCACTGGCTGGGGCTGGGGCTGGGACATGATGGGGAGGACTAGAAGTATGGCTCTGGTCCAGGCCATGCTGTGTGCAGTTGGAGGAGGGCAAGGGGCTCCAAGCAGTTTCAGTCTCACTTGTGGCTGCAGCAGCTCCCACTCCTGTGGGCAGCAGCAGAGTGAGCCCGGCCCCAGCTCGGGCTGGAAGGAGGAGGGGATGCCAGTGGCACTATCCTGTTCCAGTCTGGGGCTCTCATGCCACGCCAGGCAGCCTAGCCATGTTCCCCCCTCCAAGCCAGCAGTATCTCCCAACTTCACATGGCCTTCCCTGCCTCTGAGAGCACGGACACCAGCCCCTGGCAGCCCGATCATGCAGCTTCTCACAGCCCCTGAAAGACCTCTGCCCCCTTCCCCTGCTGCAGTGCTGTGAGTCCATGTGGGGCTGGCTGGGGTGGGGGGTAACTGGGGGCTGTGAGTCGGGAGTGGGGAGAACTAGCAGGGACGGAGGGCTGCAGGTTGGGAATCAAGGGCACGGGGGGGGGGGGGGGGGGGGGGGGTGAGGGGCAGTATATCAGGGCTGCTCAGTGCCACAAAGTAGCAGAGGCAGGATAGCTGCAGCTGGACCCATGTCCTGGTAAATGAAGGTGGCAGGGAAAGCTCTGATTTTCCATGATAAAAAAAGAAACAAAATCAAATGCCAAAATATATAGGTAATTAGAATGTACTTTATGATTGAGGCACTGGTAGGCTGCCAAATTACTTTAAAATGATAAATATATCAATAAAACATTTTATGTGTATATATGTGTGTGTGTGTGTGTGTGTGTGTGTGTGTGTATATATATATATGTATCAGTTGAACACAATGTTTTATTGATGTGGAAAAACACAGATTTGGGGTTTTTAATCATAATTTGGGATTTTTTAATTGGAGAAAACAAGGATCCCTGGCAATTACCACGTTCCAGCAGACTCCAGAATCTTGTGTATCAGCGTCCCCGTGCTGAAAAATGGTAGTGGGGGCGCCTTAACTAAATCTCGTTTGACAAGCTTTAGTTAAAGTGCCCCCGCCACCATTTTTCAGCACGGGGACGCTGATACATGAGACACTCCAAGTGCTTTAATTAGTGTGGCTCTTGGAGCCACTCTATTTAAAGCACACCCTGCCTCTACTCCTGGAGCACATGTATAAATGCTGTTAGGTACTTGGGAGCTTGCATCTAGATTTTGAAAGATCTTTAGGAACTGAACTCCTGAAGTGCCACAAGGGAGCTTATTCATGTGAACCAAGTTTTGATGGATCATGTCCAATACCTGTTACTTTGAGTAAAATAATAGCTTTGAATTACCATAGTATGTCCTACCCAATGATTCAGACTACAAGGAGTAGGGGAATGATGGTGTTTCACCTCTCCTCTGTCCGCAAGCCCAGAGCACGTGGATGTCTCAAACAAACTGATCAGCTGTAACGTTAACACCATGAGCATGTAAATAGTCATCATACAGCTGCCTGCGCTTGTAAAATGTATCTTTTTGCTTATACTCCCTCTCTGCCTAAGTTCTTCTTTTGAATTCTAGGGTGATGTTTTTATGTACTACAGCCTGCAAAACTTTTATCAGAACCACCGTCGGTACGTCATGTCCAGGAGCAACGCGCAATTGCTGGGTCGAAATACAGATGTAAGATTGTTGCATGATCAATATTTTAGTGCAGGGCTATCCGATTTCTAAGCAGACAGGGGCCACACACCCCCTGGAGCATACTGCACCAGTGCAAGCTGTGGGCTTCTTGGGCCAAATGACATGTGAGCGGTGCTCTGGCCTCACTCTCTGCATCTTAGCTGCGGTCTCCTGTGGCAGTGAGCTCCCTCAGCACCATGGGTGGGAGCCACACCATACCACCCACTAAGATGGGGTGATGAAGCAAAAGCCAGAAGAGGGAAGGGGAGCCCAGAGCAGCTGGAGCCAGGGGGAGAACAGCAACTGGGTCAGAGCCTGGAGAGCATAAATTAACCCCTCACAGGCTGCATTGCAGGCTGCTATTGTACAGCCCTGTTTTAGTGTACAGAGAGCTAATGTAAGCTTGCTATAGCCTCTAATGCAGGTGTCTGGGTGTTTGGCTTGGATAGAGTAATAAAGTAAAGCTTTTCAAAGCTTAGTCACTGCTGTGTGGTTAAGCCCATGTGACATGAGTTGGTGAGAGGTATGGAAGAGGAGAGGAGAGTGGTTAAAGCACAGGTCTGGGTTCTGTTCCTGGCTCCATCTCTGACTTGCTGTGAGCATAGTTGAGTTGGTATCCTTCTGGAGATACCAACTCCTGCTCCAGTCAGTGCAAATAATGCTGCTCCCAATAGCAGGCAGGTTGTAATGCTTAATTTACTGGAGCACATCAAGCAGCCTGAACTCCTGTGGTTGAAGGTGCTGCAAATGCAGATTGCGTATTCTCGCCGGCTTCAGTGGAATGGGATCAACTTCAAAAAACGATTCTGTAACTCTGGTGACTGTCTCAACAAGCTACCAGTGGCACTGAACTACCCTCCCCTAAAAGTCCTTTTAATTGGAGGTTGAGACTCATGGCTGGGAAATTTTGGGGAAGGTTGCATTACTGCTTCACCTGCTATATGTTATGTCAGGATGAATAAAGGAAATTGGTCCTGACTCCGGACCTATCAAACCTGTTCCTTCTGGGAGCACTAAATTATAGAGGAGTCATACATTCACAGAAAATGAGGGTTGGAAGGACCTCAGAAGGTCATCTAATCCAATCCCGTGCTCAAAGCAGGACCAGCCTCAACTAGATCATCCCAGCCAGGGCTTTCTCAAGCCTAAACCTAAACCTCCTTTGCTACAACTTGAGCCCATTGCTCCTTGTTCTGTCATCTGTCACCACTGAGAACAGTCTAGCTCAGGGGTGGGTATTATTTCAGGTAAAGGGCTACTTACCACGTTTTGGCAAGCTGTAGAGGGCCATATGGGTAGCCCCACCCCTTGACAGGTGCCCCACCCCCTGGTTGCCATCTTGGAACTGGAAGTCCCACCCCTAATGTCTGACCTTTGCTACCAAAAGACCCTCTCCTTGGCCCTGGAATTACTCCTTTGGGGAAGAGGATTTGTCATCTTAGGGGGGAAAAAACAAATTATGTACTAAAAATGAAATACCCACAATAATATATTTTAATTTAATTTAATTTTTTTTGGTCCTAATTGCATGCATTTGTGGGGTAAATGCAGAAATGATTGCATATGGGGGTTTGTGTGGATGTGTGTGTGGGTCTGGGAGCCATATAGTGTAGAGTGGCCCGCGGGCAGGCAGGAAAGTGG